TTGTGTTGGCGGATGGCTAGGCTAGACCATGTGTCTGTATATTTGTGTTGTGTTTATATGTGTTCTATAGATAGGTGTAGGCCCGTGATCGTATAGGCTACTACAGATTCGTATACAGTCAAATACGTGTGCTGTCGCACTTTAAGCCACAACGGTATATCATTCAATAAGCAGAGGATTACTAACATAAGAATGCATTCTTTAATGAATATACAGCATAGTACAGATCGTATAGTACTTAACTACACTACAGCAGGCTAGTACTTAGCTAACATAAGCAAGCGAATACAGTGTTACAAGCAATGCATGTTTACGAGCGTGGAGTCGTGCAGGTCCGTGGTGTACCTCGAGAGACAGCCGGCGACAGCTGGTGACGATGCGTGTCTCTGTGTCTTCCGTCCCAAATCGGCATTTTCTCTCTCTCTCTCTCTCTCTCTCTCTCTCTCTCTCTCTCTCTCTCTCTCTCTCTCTCTCTCTCTCTCTCTCTCTGCATATCCGCATTAACACCAAGCGAGGTTGTTGATTAGTGAGCTGTCGCGCTAGGTCTTATTAAGATTATAGTGTATAGCCTCTTGTACGTGGACAGCGAAGGCACTTGATGCCGCTACCACCTGCTGCAGCTGTCGCCGTTCCTAACGATTCGCGGTACACGTAGCGGTACATTGAGTGGAAAACGCATGCAACGCCCATAGGAAGTTTCGTATTGATAGCTGCGTGCGTCGAGAGCCAGCTGAATAAGTCTTGTAGCTCGGCTGCGCACCTGACACTGCACTCCTCGTTATTGACAACTGCCGGTACGTGAGATGCGGATTGAGAGCGTGAGGCATTCACCAGCGGAAAGTCGAGAGGGAGCAAAGGTACGGCCGTCTGTATACGTACATTGGCGCAACTCTCCATGCGGATTCGGTGTTACGATTGTTTTACGCCTGTATGCGCGAAGGTGTGAGGATTGCTATAAAACAACGCGGTTGGTTATTATGTCCCGTTATACTGAAGCGCACATCTTTCGCTAGTGGAAGGCAACGACAATATGTAAACGGTTGGTATGAATGGTGCATGGCGGCGGCGGTGGCGGTGGCGAGATAGCGATGGCGATGGCGGTGGCGGTGGCGGTTGCTGTGGCGGTGGCGATGGTGATGGCGGTAGCGACGTCGGTGGCGGTGGCGGTAGCGATGGTGGTGGCGGTGATTGCTGTGGGGAAGAGGTAGTCCTGATGCTGACCGAGACCTTCACGTCCCTATGTTGAAATTAACGTACGTTTGTTTCTTCAACATACGAGCAAATGATTGTCCGCGAATTTCGCACACGTATAGGCCTATTACACACCATGCTGGCGCTATAGGCAGCTTTCTCGCTTTCGTGTCGGAACATTAGCCATACATGGTTCTCATCTCTATGGTCCGTGTTACAAACTCAATGTATAATTTGATGAAGCTATTATTTCACAGCACGTTTCTTATTTTGGTAATCTAATCATTATTTCTTATTGTGAAATGCATTTACGCGAATGAAATACGCTTAGAGCGCTTCGTCCTCGATGGGAGACATCGACGCACGCTTTGAAGTCTCAAAATCTGCGGATTAATATAGAGAGAAACGTGTGACCGTGTGAAACATCTTATCAGATTGAAGGAAAATCCACGAGTAAAAAGGCATCGAATATGGCTGTTGTCTGTTACGGGCCTGGACCAACGGCGCACACAGAGTACGTCAAAGCAACATTGCTTATTTCAACAAGGAAATGACAAAAATGGCCGCATTCGTCTCGTTTCGTGCGTCTTTCTCACGTCCGTTGATTGATTATGATATTAATGCCCCGATATTTGACCTGACGTTTGCGCGTATTATTACACACCTGCTCACGTTGCCTCACGCTATCGTAGCACACCTCCACTTTAACTAGCTCTGAACGTCGCACAAGGGAATACTGTCTGTCGTAGTAATAATGGGGCGTGCTAAAGATGTCCACGCAGTACGTAACATACTAATCATGTACCGTCACACTACGCCCCTGGGTGTCTCGTTCGTGTCTACGCTCACGTTGCCCACACGAGTCCAAACAGTACTAACCCAACGAGTCCTAAAGATGTCCACGCAGTACGTAACATACTAATCATGTACCGTTACACTACGCACCTGGGTGTCTCGTTCGTGTCTACGCTCACGTTGCCTCACGCTATCGTAGCACACCTCCACTTTAACTAGCTCTGAACGTCGCACAAGGGAATACTGTCTGTCGTAGTAATAATAGGGCGTGCTAAAGATGTCCACGCAGTACGTAACATACTAATCATGTACCGTTACACTACGCACCTGGGTGTCTCGACTTTTATGCATGCGACTATTTGACGATGTCGTTGCCATTCCTCGTAACTTTCTCTGTAATGGATATATAAGTAATTCTGTAACCATTTAAAATTACTACATCTCCCACTCTTTTTTCCGAGTACAATCTCAATTATTGCTAAAGCCATCACAAGCTATCTTTCAACGCGGACGCTTTTAGAAGTACCTAGTGCAAAAACTATTTTCTTTTTTATGGAAAATTTGCCGATTTAATCACTTGGGAGTTGTCTCTCTATGTTATCCGCTCGTCGGAAAATAATTATTGGTTTTTCTGCGAAATTCTAATTCATCCATATATAGGAATGGTCGCCGGCGGCACGGTACCATAGCATGATCCTACGCAGATCAAATGTATGTATACTAACCTAGCTAGTTATGTGTCACCTCTGCTGATTGTTCTACTAGTCGGACTGGTAGCATTGTGTCCAATTCGAATGATTAAACAGCGAATTCCGAAGCCCAGGGAACGATCAGGAGAAGAGACGTGTGATGGGGAGGCTGGGCCGTCACTACGGGCCACGGATCCGTTTCACTATTTCATAAGGGTTCGACTAACCTACCACTGCGATGCCATTGAGTCATAAATTTAGCGAGGAAAAACTAGTTTCGACTTATGATAGTCTCATCAGGGTCGTCTGAAGCTCTGTATTTAACGATATAGATAAACGACAGGAGAATGCAGCCCCCTTCTCCATGTCGGCACGCCTCGTACTGTTGCCATCGTGGACATGGAACAAAGCACGGAAATGTAGGCATAAAAGACTAATATGCAGCGATGATTAGAAGGACTGAGAGGGGGGACCAACTCTAGACGCTCGGCAGTCCTCGCACAAACCCTCGTCAATAATCCGTATATGTGTTATAATATTCAGAATAGAGTGGATTGTGATTTACTGTCGAGTTATATAGAGTGGGGTTTCAACGATCGTGTAAGACCGAAAAAGTACGAGTTAACGTTCGTGATTATAAAGCAGCGGGGTTTATATGTTTTGCAGATCTCGTGATTATTGGCAAGAATGTCACTGCAGTGTCCCACGTGTCACACCTAGTTGCCATGACGATTGTCTGATCGGTGCCACGCCTCTTTGCAAATATTCGGGAAAAACACTCAAGTGACATTTGACAGTTCGCTCAACGTTCGACATGGGCCCATGACATGTCGGATAAATCGTGACAGAGTCGCTTCTTAGAAAGCTTACAAAGCCCATCATTTATACATACATGTACACACGCACGCGCGTGTGTATTGCATTTGCCTGAAACGCGTTTCAAGATTCTATACACAGTCACTCCTGTCACATAGAAAATTTAGCTTATATCTCCTTCTTGCTTCCCGCGGGGTTTCCTCAGCGAACAAATACGCGGTTTGATATGACTGGTGATTGAGGCGGTACTTCTTCAACAACGGTTATTCGTAAAAATAAATAAGACGTGGAATGGGTAATACTAGACGGGCCCCTCCAAACGGGTAGCCGATTCTGTGATGCGGTTACATTGATTGTCTAATCTAGACAGTCTGGAGAAACAATGTGTGAGATGCTGTGGCATGTTCCGCCCAGGTATCACGTCTCGATGGCACTTGTCAGACGTTGGGTCGATATTATGGTATGATCAGGCGAGACGTGCGACAAATTCTTCTTTTTTTCAGAACCGAAAAACACCCAGGCACGCGCCTAATATCTATTTCGTTCTCGGCACGTGCCGAGCATTCTACTATCGCGTACGTTCTCTACGGCTAAGTATTAGCATCAAGTTTACACCCGCTTCCGTACGAGAATCCTGCATGCGAAGTTAAATTGATCGTAATATACGAAGAAATGAACTAGTAAAGCGCTGCTGCGGTTGCGCACGCAACCACTTTCAACGAGATGGAGATAAATTTACACAATGGAAAAACAGTAATAACATTACCTTGCGCTACGCATTCAGTGGTTAGCATTTTACGAGCGCCTGCGATGAGAGTAGATGGTGCATATCCCACACACGACGAAATTTGACTCACAAAGATAATCTAATCCGTAAATCTAAACAGTAGCACAAATGTCATTAGCGTTGGTGTTTAGCGTGTCAATAGCACATAAAACTGCCTCGTAGAAATCTATATGCTTCAGGCGATTCTCATTTTCGATCGGGTATGAGGTATAATAGCATTTAATTATAATGGCAGCGCTTGCGTTAAACGTGGATGGATATCTGCTGCAAATGCATGGAAATCCGTTGACATTTCAAACTTAAAGTTCACGAGTTCTTATTTCAGGCGGAGCCGCCGATCAGTACAGCCCTGCGGGCCAACTGTGCGCAAAGCCGAACAAGCAAGTTCTCATCAGCAGAGCTTCGGCATAGACGGTGCGACAATAAGTAGCGGCTGTTGCATGACGGCCGTGGGAGTTTCGCCTGTCTACGTGAGTCTGTGGGGCGTCCACGCGTGCGTACGCATCTTCTGACGCTGCTACTGTCGCTGCCACAGCAGCTGCGGCTACTGCTGACAGTGATGATGCCGACAACAACGAAAGTGGCGTTCTCCGTATAGCTGATACTTTTCCGTAGCGTAGAGAGAATATTTTGCTCGCTCGTCGCGTTCATGCCGGCAACGTTCGTCATCCTTGCACCGCACGAGTGCCTCTAGCGAGTGACAGCATCTCTCAAGAGACGGCATGGGCTGCAGGCACTGCACGTTGGCCGAGCCAGCGTGCGAGCGAGAGAGAGGCTTCGCCGTCTATAACGTCGACGGCGTTACCGAGACCCTGGGACCGGGAATCGTTGACGTCACGCCGGCGGAGATTCTTTACACGCCCGCCGGCAATGAGGACTGCCTCTGCTGGGCGCTAGACTGCCTCCGACGATACGGCTTCGACGCGGATCTGTTCTCTTTCGAGACCGGACGCAGGTATCGCAACCGCTTTCTGCACCCATCTATGTATTCCCCTGTCACACGTCCACCCATGTAGTTTCAATGTGTATGTTGGTCTAATGCCGATAGTAATGCACTACGTCTAGGTAGCACTCGATCCGGGTACACTTTTTGTCGTTCTTGCCGGTGCGTGGTGAAAAATAGTTCGCTTTAGAATCGCAGAAGTCTATACTTGCCTTCCACACCGCCCTTATATGGTTCATATACCGCTTATTAAGCTGCTGACGTTTTCGGTATCTACATCGGGGCCCGTTATTAGAAACATCGTAAAGTTAAGCAAACGTTAATGCTAAGATAATACTTACGACTAATGGAATAGCGACGACTACTGGAATAGCGTTGACGGGAACGCATCGCGGCTACGAGAAACCATACAATAACAGAAACTTAATAATTTAAGAAGATGCCACTGTAGATTCCCTGCAAATGTAGAAGCTTGGAGCAAGTCAGAAGTACGCCAACCGGTCGTCTATGGGTTAATTGCCTCATCAAGCCAGTAATGATTGCCCACGTGTTCGTGCGTGCAGTGAGAGAAGGAGATTGGCACTTACACTGTTGCCGTGTTAAACTAATGTTTTATTACTCCTTTGCCGCTGCACACTGGAATTATGCCAGATATGTTTGCTGGTACCTGATGGAAATATAATTCACACTTCCATGTGATGCAAAGGCAATGTTTCTTCGAGGAGAGCATGTTTGTCGACACAAGCATCATGTCTGGAATTCAGTCTTCAGCGATCAGTTTGGATAACTGATGTAGTGTAGTATGTTGTGGGTGTAATTAGTCTAGGAATATGCATGACTGTTTAATGAGGTTAATGTCGGGTGACGATATTCATCTGACACTGATCACTGAACAACACCGAACCCCTATATTATTTAATACCCTGTGAGCGGGATATCAATTGTGCATGAGTGTTTAATGAGCAAAACAATACTAAAGGTTTGAGGATTGACAGAATATTACAGAAGTTATTGCGAGTTTAGCATGCTTAATTTATAAGCCATGCCCCTTAATTTATACGGACTCAAATGGGAAAATATACGATCTGAATTTTTTGTGATACAAAAAATTGCCCTACGGTGCCAAAGTGGCACCCGGTGGATTCGGGTTCAGGAAACCACAAAAAACCTTGTTTATACCCGATAGCAACGTTCATGCAGTCATTTGGCAACCGGACTATATATATCTACATATATACATACATATATAACCTACATAGGCTGGAGGTAAACCAGTCAGTACCAGCACATTTTAAAAGAAAACAATAATCTAGGTTTTATGAATATTATCAGTTAGCATAGACTTAAATTGCCCGACATATTTTTGCAATTTGGGGAGCAATATTTACTAGAAATAATTTGAACCTGCGGAAGAATGTTTGCCTACAATGCCGGTGGCTCCATGATACTCTACTCCGCATCTACTATCGGATGTGTTAGGCTACAACCACTAAGCTGTATATAATAACACTGTGTATAATAACAGTTATTATATACAGCTCAGAGGCTCTAAGCAAACAACATGCTACATGTTGAGAAGGTTTCTCATTCATTAATTTAAGACGAGGATTGAGATACCTTATATTCCGCTATTAATTTCAATTAGATTATGTGCGTGTTTATATGGCGAACAAAAAGACGTTAGGTTAATTGGTAGTTGGGTATAAATAAACATGAATACAGTTTTGTGATTAGCTTCCGGTCTTAAGAGTACAAAATAAATATTCAGTGAGGCTCCACATATGCAGCCACTAATAATTGCCGCGTAACACGGGGAAAGCCATAAAAATGGTCACCCGACTTTAATAACCAATTAGATATTATTTTTCGGGCTTGGTTGACAGCTTGTTGAATCGGAAAAAAACTTGACAAACTACATAACACGCCTTACACATGGTGGCGTGCCGGTAAAGATCAGGTTTAAATTGCCAGAGTCGCTTCTCCCTTATGCATGTGTATTAATATCATGGCTTTAGTGTATTCTAGTTTAGAATACTAATAGGTGAACTTTTACCCTATTAGAAAAAATTCTTTCTCGCTAGCCATTAAGACATTAAATAAATGTCATAAGGGCGCGCGACCCTTTCTTTAATAAAATTGCAAGCGAAAGCCTGTCATCCTCACTCCAGCTTATACGTCGTAACCTTTTACTGGCAATTTGAAACAAAAATATCCGTGATATTATTGCGAGAAATAATCGATTTCATTAATCTGCACAGGTACGAAACCGTCTCACCATGTTGCGAGTAAAGCGGCCTTATTTCTTTCTTGTCACATTCGCCCCTGCTGAGAGTATGTGACATTGCGGCCAGCTGTTATCACTGCTAAAAGTAGTCGCGTCTAATTTCGTCTAGTTTCGTCTTGTTTCTTCGTCTCGTGGCACGAGTAAATGTCACTAAAGGGGTAAAAAGCCACTCTTACCTCGTCATGTCACGACTCAGGTGCATATAGTGACATCAGTGAGTTTGTCGTGCCCACGCCATCTTGTCAGGCATACCGTCGATACTGTCGCATAAAAGTACGATCGTAACGGCTCATACGTATAAGTTTTTTTTTGTCTGCTCGCGCCATTGATCAACATTTCATTCCCGGTAGAACTGATTTTCTTTCATTAGTTACTCAGGTCATGTCGCAGAAATAATGGGATAAATGATAAAAATTGTTCCAGCGTTCGTACTCAGTCTGCTGACAGCACGTAAATAGTAAATTGCGGCCAGGTATGTAGGACTGCAAATGCTGTGAGTTGTCCGTGTTTAGGAATCACCCAGCCCTCCCCTCCCCCAGCTGAATCAGTCCTATTCTCAGTCGCTATCGCATCGCGAAAACCACCCCGCTAGAGAAAAATACGTAGGCGTTCTAAATACGACCGAGACCTTCCTTGAACAGCGGCTACGTTCGGAGTCGTGGTCTGAAAGCGACCAATGGCTACGACCGATACCTGGATGAGCTCAATCAGCGAATTGCTGGTTTGACAATAGGAGGCTGGGAACAGTTATGGGTCCCTCGTCACGTCAGACAACTCTCGCAATCGGCACATAATCGGATGAACCAATATTTATTGGCTTCATTAAGCCAGTTGCCGGATACTGCGAGTTCACTGTTCGAACTATATCTTATTACGCGTTTCAACAGCTGAACTAATTTATTTCAATCGCATCTCGTGCGCAAGTGAAATGTAAAACATTGATGTTAAAACGGCGCGTTATATACGATGTGCATTGCAGCTGACCGCCAAGATGGGATTCTGAAATGTAGAGCCCCGACCTGAACTCTGAGAGCAACATCATGCTGTGAACGCTTGTCTACGAGTAAGATATTGCATGGAGTGAGCGAACGGACGGCCTGTGTGACGGGAGTATATTTATAGGCGGGTGTAGGTGTATGCCGTGTGACCGGACACACCTGTCATGCTTGCGGGGCGTATTATAGTAATGCTAAAACTTGTCTGGCGATGCCAACGGTTATGCTAAGGACAACATAACGTTGGCCTATAATCCTACGCGTACGTAGCTATGAGGCTGCCATTCAGAAATGGCATTATGATCGAGTGTTCTTTACTAAGTGTGCAAAATGGCTTCTATATATACCCGAAAGAGTAAACTCGGGCATGTGTATGCCCTTGTGCATCAAGGGGATGAACGGTAAATCTACGTTAAGTTATTGTAGGTAATGAATCTTTATCCGGTCTAGAATTTCTATACATAGAGTTGGTTCTAGTGACCCTCGCTTCTTTCGTATTTGATGAATGGCTTTACAACGAATGAGAGTCTGAGAGGCTCATTCTCTTATGTTTCTGTACTTGATAGTGCGATCGTGTTTCGAGATGGCACAGCCGTCTATGCTTTGTTGCCTAGGGACATTCCTTGCAGGAGATCTCTTAGATGAGAGTGATTGTGTTCTTACATGGCGATGCATGTAAACAGCTGTCCGTGTTTCTAAAATTCGTACTGTAATGAGACCATCTTCACGGTTATTCCCGCTATACGTAGACCGAACACATGTACTCGAAAAGCTTTCCGAATCGTTGAGGTGGCTTAGAGCACGTGCCAAGTGTTTACCTGCAGTATGCTTGATGTATTTAGATCATAATTCAGTGTGGGTGGGTCCATGCAAGCGTAAGAGGGTGATCGGATGGTAGTACGCAGAAGGAATCTCTAGGGTTCGAGCAGCTGCCATTTTGTTCTTGACGGTTGTTGGTTTTCAGCCTCCTTCAAGAATTTTTTTTGATGATTTTACAGGCACATCACAGGAGCTATTTATAAGGTATAATAAGCCTACGTTTTTTGGGACATAAACTTAATAGGTTTCCAAGTAAGTATGGTAGTTCTTCTAAAGATTTCCGTTGGCGAGAAAAACCGGTGCGCTACGAAAAGACACACAAAAAAGTCACTACGTGATTCAGGAAATATGATGGTGGGAAGAAAAAAATCAGAAAATTCGCGAATCACATCCACAAGTCTAATTCACACACAGACACACACACGCGCGCGCGCGCACGCGCGCACGCACGACCGCACGACCGCACGACCGCACGACCGCACGACCGCACACCTGCACGACCGCACGACCGCACACCTGCACACACAGCACGCGCGCGCGTGCGTGCGTGCGTGCGTGCGTGCGTGCGTGCGTGCGTGCGTGCGTGCGTGCGTGCGTGCGTGCGTGCG